GCTCTGCAACATGCAAGACCGAATCTTGAACTGCTTCATGCATGGTCGAATAACGAACAACACGGTGCGAACTGGGTTCAACATCGGACGTGTACTGCAACGAACGGAGTGACGATGACATGTCAATGTCGATGACTCCTGGGTGGACAATTGAAATCCAAGGCACGTTACACCAGAGAAAAATGTCAAGATGAGTTCTACTACTCCCAGTTCTGTTTGGAACCTGGTCGTGACCTCCAAAATGTGAGAGGGACAAACATGGTGGCTTCGCCGGTTTATCTACCTCTCTGGAGGTTCGGGAACAGCTCTTGCCAGGTGAACATGAAAACGTCCAACCTTTACTGGCAAGAAGTGCAACACTCAGCAAACTAACCTGTCCATATCCGATCAGACCTGTGACTCTGAGCTTCTGCGGCCTCTGCAGTTGGCTGCCAGCGCAAATGCTGCGCGACACTGGTGACAGGCTTGAGCTAGCAGGTGCTGCGGGCGACGGCGCGGCGGCTCTCGACGAAGCAGCAACAGGCGAAGCAGCACAAGGCGACGACGCGGCGGCTCCATCGCAATCTAAAAAGCTAACATGCCTACTTTTGAGAGCATGCGTGCTGAACTCTGCTTCGACACACCGATTTAAGATCATTTCCTGTCCATTGGCTGTGGTGCATCGTTCGTTGACGGCCCACTCCCTGCAAATCTGCAGGTATCCCTCATCCACTAGACTTTGACTGATCAAGTGGATGCTTGCCCCACTGTCCACCAAAAAGTGTGGATCAGTGTGCCAAATTGCGTGGGTCAGGGGGTTTTGGGCTGAGAAAGAAAAAAAGCAAATAGACACTTTAAAAAAGGAAATAGAGGTTTTCAGAAACTGAAACGAAGGGTGGGTCAGAACAGGGTTTGTGGAAGGATGTTTGCACTAGTCCCCACTCAGATGATCCACGCAAAAAAACATCATATAGGCGGCTAACTGCTACCTGGTAAACTGAATGAAACCTGGCTGCTGGCAACTCTTTTTTTCACTCCGGGAACATGTGGCCACCCCTGCTTTAGTCAGAGGTTTACCCTGCTGCTGAAAATCTCAATTTGCCAACTCAATGGCAAGGACCCAAGCTGAAACTCAAGCCTTACCCTCAATCCTCCTTGGACTGGTGGAAAGCTTTTGCACCCACTTCATTCTTGGTCAGTTTCCTTGACCGGTCTTCAAAGCATAGTTCTGGGAAGCACTCTGAGGGAATTCTAAGGCTTTGAGGCTTTGAGACATCGGAAGAGTGGGACAAAAATGGGCCTGTGGGTGTTTGCACTACTCAGCACTCTGAAGATCCGTGTAAAAAATATCACTCAAAATTCATACTCATTCATATTATCATGTTTGTAAGCTGCTAAATTAAGTTATTATGAATGAATCATATGTATGAAATTGAACTGTTTTCCATCCCGGCCCATCCCACATCGTAGAAAATCTGGCAACTCTGTTTTCACTCATGGCCCATGTGGCCAAAGTTCCTCAGCCATAAAGGTTTCCCCCACAGCTGAAGAAGATCCCCATTTGCCAACTGTATGGCAAGCACCCCGAGCTGACACTCAAAAACAAATCCCTCAAGCCACAAGCCTCTATCCTCCTTGGACTGGTTTGAATGTAAATAGATTCCTTTTGACACTGACAGTGAAGGTTTATATAGTAACAGTTACTGTATAAAGTTTTATATATTTATATAGTGCAGCGCAGCGCACTATGGATTCTAGCTCTGTGAGGCACCCTGCACCCTGAGGGAATTCTAGCGGCTGCGAGTTGTGAGACATCACGCCAGCTTTTCACTCAGCAGCAGCAGCGGCCTGCATTCCTGCTGCCAGCTGCGGCTTGCGCTGCCTTGCTGCCTGCTGCCTTGCTGCCAGCTGCCCTTCTTGCTGCCAGCTACCCTTCCCCCTGCAAATCAATCAGATTTCACTTCACTGCACTGCACACTACACATTACTCACAGTGTCTCACAGACATGATTACTTTATACTGTATTAAGAATTAAGTTGAGTTACATAAGTTATATAAGTTATATATCTTATTTATATATATTTATATATATATTGTGTTTCTCGCAGTTTGTCACTCAAATCTTTACTGACTGTACTAATACTGACCTTACTAGTATAGTACTGACCTGCATAATTCCTGATGCAATGACTGCAATGACAATCCCCAACCTGCATCATCTCGAGGCTATTTCTTAGGCGGTCTTCCCTTTCTCTTGGGTTCTGAACCTGAAAGGCATCCAACCATTGTCCAAGTCTCAACTTGATGTCAAAGCTCACGAGGTCTCCGACGAGTATCAAAAAGATCGAACGGCACGGTCGAATGCGCGCCCAAGCTGCCTTTTTAGGCTGGTGTCGTGTCCTATGTGCTCAAGGGCCCTCAACGAAGGAGAGACTGCACTATTCGCAAACTGACTTCTCCGATTGACGTCCGGCCAAGAAAAACTCATACGCATTCGCAAATCAACACGGGCAATCTTTTCTTTGCCCTTGAGTCATTGAGGGAAAACATTCAAAAAGTTGCCCTTCTTCATGATCGCAAGCCAAGTTCATTGGCCTGCAACCACGCGCCATGCTGAGTGGCCGGCAGCTGTCTTGCTCTCAAATTGGGAGCATGGTAGTCATACGAGATTGGAGTCTGGGACGAACGATCAGTCAGCAAGCCACTCAGGTATTTCTCGCGGATCTTCTCGAAGTCTTCATGATCCAGCAGCTTTGCTCTTTCTTGTTGGAGTCTTTTGTTGACACTGCCAAGGAACATCAAATTGTCATTCCACATTCGGTGCCATTGGCGGATTTGCTCATCTTCGAAACCAGTTGTGGAGGTCACCAGGAACATGGACGTGAACTTTTTCCACCTGGTACTGGTCACACTTTCTTCACTCAGGATAGTTCGGGCGCTTCTATCCATGCCACTTGAGCTCAATTCCAGTTCTTGGCAAAACTGGCGCCACCTTCTCTGCGAGTTCTCGTTCTGCACTTCCATTTTCAATCTACTCCAGCGAGACCACTCTTCAGGAGGAATCTCATCATCTTCGGACTGCTCGCTTTCATTCTCGAAGCGCTCGTCCGAAGGCAGCTGCAAGACATACCTTACGACCTGCTCATTCTGGAGGGTCTGGACATTCTCAACGGCGACATGGCTAGGACCTACCGGCTGGTCTTGCAGCAGTTTTTCTTCCAGCTGGGCTTCTTCTTCTTCTTTCCAACGGTTCGCCACCATCGAAAACAATTTCCGAAGCAGCTCTTCGAATCCAAAAAGTGCAAACAGAAAAATCACCAGCATTGAAAGGATCATGCTCCAGCTGTTGCTTGAATCACTTTTCACAAGCTCCTCGGCGCTGGCCTTGGGAAGGTCCTCAACCATCAACTTGCTCACAGCAGCGATTGCGGCCGTGCGCCATGGATCATGAGCTTTCTTCATAGATGCATGACGCATGCTTGTAAAAATGACGTCTACAGCAAAACTTGTTTTTGGAGTCTTCACATCCAGGTAGGAGACACACTTTGTCAGGTCCATCGGCGAAGTAGCTCTGTTCTTCCTGTAGCAAGCGGTTGTTCTTTTTCTCGTTCTTGTTGCGTCACCTTCTTTGCTGCTATGAAGTTGGGGTCATATGAAAGCTTGTGGGATCCTCGAGCCAAAGTCACTGCCATTGCATCACGAGCTGCACTCTTCCCAAAACAGTTCTCCAAGGACCGCCTGAAGCACACTAGAGCTCGTATCACTGCCCAAGCCGCAATGTGATTGAAATTCGGTCATATCAGAGAATGCCTCATGCCACCCAGGCTTCACAGAAGTCCTAGGCAAGCAGCAAGCAGGAGCTGCAAAGTGATAAGAAGTGTATCCCCAGTCCCGAGTCCCCGGTCACCAGTCCAAGAAAAAATGTTTTGCAGCAGGAGCTACTGGAAAAATACTGACAATTGGATCATCTGTTCTTTGCTGTTCCCTTATTCAATATTATATACAAATAGTACAGTACAGTACAGTCTAAAAAAATATAGGTCGGTCAGTCAGACAGTCAATATAAAAGTATAAATGAGACCACCGCCGGCCACCGAAACCACTATATGATACAATATGGTTAAATGATCATCTACAATTGTCTACAATACAATTTATATCTCTTATATATATAGTACTGTAAAGTAAAGAGAGGTCCTGTCTTGCCAAGCTTCATTGGAAACATCTGGTCGCAGTCGAAGCCATGAAGATTGCTGCCAATGCCCTCAAAGAACAGCATTGATGGAACTCTGAATCCTGTAGCGTCCGCGTTCATGCACTTCTCAACCAGGAAGGCGCAAGCTGCAAGCAGGTATATACCTCCGGAAGGTTGACAAGGCAACTGAAATGCCATTCTCTCTGTGACTCAGTTTGCAAACTGCACTGACCTGCTTCCCCCATGATCTGAATCCAGTCCATACTTGTCAACAAAATCAGGTCGTGGTCAGGAAATTATCCAGCTCAGGAAACTGAACTCTGAAACAGACACACAACTACAAATAGAGGCTTGTTTGAAGAGGCAGCGACTAGAAGCAATGCTTCCCAACAAACTATGACTGTTCTCAAAGCGACCAAGGCAGGGACAGGAAGATCTCAGTAGCTCAGTTTGACCTGGAATGCTGACATAGAAGAAGTAAGAGAAATAGAAGAAATACAGAAAAACCATCACAGCACCAGTAGTCTACTATTGAGTTTAGTTTTGTTTCTGGGCCAGTACTATATTGGTCTTTTTAGCGTGTCGGCGGATTCGAGCTACAGTGACATCTCCAGGCCGTGCTGAAGATCAAGTTTCAAAGTGAAAACAGGTATGTCTCATGACACCTGCAATTCCATAAGTGAAAAGCAGAAAAGCAGGCATGACACCTGCTGCATTCCGTGACCATCCGGTGAATTTCTGCCAGTTGACAACAATTGACAAGAGCTGTGACATTCAGTCTAGTCGGCAACCTACTTGAAGTCTCAACCTATGACAAACTCATCTAACCTAGTTTCACCGGCTGAAGTTGCACCGGTTGAAGGCACGGCGGCGGTTGCTGAGTATCTGCTGCCCATTCCGAAGATTCTGCGTTCCTCTTCAAATTGCTTGTACTCGTCGCTGAGCTGCACCAAAACATCGTGGTCAGTCCTGAGCATGAGTGACAAACCAAGAGAACAAACCACTTCCAAAACACAACAAAACAAAACAATGCCAAAACACTCAGAACAGGACCTAGTACTGGGACAGCAAAACCGCTCAATGACATCGAGAAACACTTGGTCGCAAAGCACTGCGACTGGCCTGCCCCAAGCCTTGTAGGAATCAAACATCAGCTGCTTGAATCCCTGCAGATACTCCAGCAGGTCTTCGCCAAGGTCTTGGTCATGCAAATGGTGTCAAACAACAACTACACATAACTAAAACAACACAAACCAAGCAAAACGCATAAGACAGACAAACATATGAAAGCACGGATCACTTCACATCACTGTCTGGTGAGAGATGGCAGTACCAAAGCATAGCCTCCACCCTTCGGCCAATGCTGGCATCGCAGCTCATGTGCTCCTCCTCCAAGAAGTATGCCTTGACTTCAGGCATGATGAACATGGCCGCTCGCAAGACCTGGTTCCCCCCGAGTTGCAGGGTCTCATCCTGGAGCTGTTCATGGTGGAAAGCATCATGAAGCAATCCGATGTCCATGAGCTTTGTGCCCCGCAGCGCCTCCACAACAAATTTTTCGCCCTCCAGCAATCGATCCAGCATAAGGAACATACGTGGTTGCTCGTCCATTGGCCTCAAAGCCGCTGCCATCTCATTGAGACTGGGCATCGCGGAAGTGTCCATCTCAGAGACAGCTGCTGGACTTGCAGCGGAAGTCAGCGGAGGTGGAGGAAAAAGTTGCTTGTCGTAAGTCACACCTGCCATAAATATAAGATGTAGATATATATATATACTGTAACATTGTATAGTAGATCTATACTATGTTTTACAATATAATCATATCAGCTGACTTGAACAGCTGAGCGGGGAGGCTTGAACCAAAATCTTCAGGGGTTCAAACTGGGGTTCAAACATACCAGTCATACATCTTACATGGACCTGGACCTGGAACTGGAACTCATGAATTTATGACAATGCAGCTGCATACTCATCAATCAGCCAGAGGGTCCATTGGAGTCTAACAACATGGCAACTTCAGGGATCATCATGTCCAACAACACGCCTGTGTAGTCAACCATGGTGCTTCTTCAAGCACTCAGCAACAAAGAACCTCTTCGCGTGAAGTGACTCTATTACAGCCAGAAACAGCTGACTGACAGACACAAACATCCACAGACTTATACAGTGAAACAGCTGACTGACAGACTCAAAGAAATACAGAAACAGCGGACCAACACTCTCCAAAGTAAAGCAAAGTCTGCAAAAGCTCACAAGCAACTGTAGTACGGGTTGAGAACATGTTCTAAACTTGCAAATGCCTCATCACCCTCCAGAACTAAACGTGCGCGATGCAGCGGAGATGGTCACTGGGATCACCTCAGTTGAGTTGAGGCAAATCATTCACTAACATGGCCTTTGCATATGCAGCTCGATTTAACACACTCAAACTGTAGTGAAGGAAAGCCTGTCAAGACTCTTGAAACATAAACCTGTGACTTATATAGTTCTCGCGCATCACACAACAAACACACAGAAACTCACACAACAAACAGCAGTTCTAAGCATCCTGCCTATTGCCATTTTTTCCTGCAATAATAAGGAAGAACCAATTGGATATTGTGCATTGGAACCTACTGACAACAACTGACAGCAACAACAGTGAGATCACCTGCACTATAAATGAAAGCAATCAGCTTCTGGCTTCTTCAATGGAAAAACTGACAGCCCTCAAAGCGACCAAGGCAGCGACAGGAAGATCACAGTAGCTCAGTTTGACCTGGGATGTAATTGATTGGAAGTGAATGAAACATTCATAAAACAACTCACCACCACAGTTTCTGCTACTTCTGGCAAACTTGTAGCTTCATTCAAAGATTGAACTGTTCAACAGTCAACATGAACTCATCGCTGAGAGCCACGCCTTGAACCACACAGCGCACCATCAAACAAGCAAGCAGCACATTAAAGCGGTGGCTGGCCATTAAAGCGGTGGCTGAATTCTAGAGACAACAGCTGACACCAGTGACATGCTTGCGTCTCCTACAATTACAATGTAAGTGTAGCACCACTGACAGGCTGACAAATTAAAGGAAGGTGTCAAAACAACTGACTGGGCCATCCTGACTGAAGGGCCATTTGAAGCTCAGTTCCACCTGCCACGCCAACAGCTCAGATGAGTCCATGTTTGACTCAATAGATTTAAACCTCTTGTTGAACAACAGTGCTGAATGACTGCTTCTTGCACTGATTGCCCAGCAACTGCGCAAGCAGCAAGCACTTTTTTCATTCATGGTGCTGGTCTGGCCACTGCTTTTGCAGTAGCCAGAGCATGCCGTGCCAATTGCTCGATGTCTTCTCCTGAGTTCAGTCACTCACAAAACTTGTGCAACTGGCATGGCAAACTGTAAGCTTTGTCCACACATGGTCCACAACTTGCCACCCAAGGTTTGGAATGGTCCAATCAGTGAACAAACCTCCAAGAAATAGACTTGCTGCCCAGTCTCTCACACTGTCCTGCAGCCACAGCGCATGGTTTTTGGAATAGTCCTTGAACAGCAGCTTGTTCCTCGGGTTCAGATGCTATGGACCGGCTGTGGGCCAAGCCATTAATGAACCATTGATCTTCAATTGTTTGATTGGATTTTCACTTGTAGCTTTAGAAGACGATCACAATCATTTAATTTAATGTCCTTCTTTTCATTTCATGATTCATGAAATGAACTAGCAGTTGACCTACTCGGTTCAGTTGATATTTCATTGAGTCATGCATCATGTTCAAGCCAAGTCTCAGTAATCTTGTTTGTCTGCACCTGCCCAAGCTTCCATACCTCTCGCTAAGGGAGAAAAACAACAGCTGAGTAACACGGTCCATGCCATAGTCGTTCAGAATTTCTGACCTCATCCGACAAGCGCAAAAGCAGACTTAAAAAGATACCCAACCACACATGTCACATGAACTTCATTGGCAAGACATTTATCCACTCCAATATCCACAGTCACTGCCTGCCTATGATTCTTCTAACCACTGTGCAATCAAGACACATCACTTCATCTCTGTTCTGCAAGTCAGCAGCGCTCCTTTGGAGAATCTCCATCTCATTTTCCTCCGCGGCTGCTGCTCCTCCAGAAGAAGCTGCTGCTGTGGCTGAAGGCTCTGGTGCTGTGTCCACCCATATAGTAGATGCAGACGGAGCCGAATGAGCAGTTGGATTCTGCTCAGGGCGAGCCTGAGATGGGTTCACTGTTTGCCAAAGTCAAACATGCACAAAGTTGAATGAAACAAACCTGAGTTCCTATTTTTTGATTCACTCAATCTTGATGCTTGAGTGAAAGACTATCCAGCAACACTCAACAGTTACAAAACAACCCATCTATCATCCAGGCCAGACATGATTGGAATGCATATCTGTGCGTTTAAAATGAGAAACAGTTGATGAAGTATTTCCAGTTGGACCCCAATAAGAATTCTTCAACACAAGAAGGCAGCATACATATTTTTGAACTGAAGGCTCATAAAGATTTAGTTCACAATCCATACAGAGGGACAGATCATGACTCCAAGTAACCTTCTTGTTGGGACGGGTTGCTGGGGCCGTATCCACTGATGGTGCTGGGTCTGCTTCCACTGATGGTGCTGGGGCTGATGGTGCTGGGGCTGATCGCACTGACCATGTTGTTCTTGGGGCTGATTGCTCAGATGTTGGTTCTGGGGCTGATGGCTTTGCAGATCGCTCAGATGATGGTGCTGGGGCTGATGGCTCTGCAGATCGCTCAGATGATGGTGCTGGGGCTGATGGCTCTGCAGATCGCTCAGATGATGGTGCTGGCGCTGATGGCTCTGGGGCTGATGCTGTGACTGGCCCCCATTCAACAGGTCGCCACCCTGCAGGTCGAGGTAGTGGTGAAGGTGGCTCCATGCAGAAGAGCGTTCTCAAATTGTTTGTCCTGAGCTCAGCAAGCGGCAGTGTCACAGAAGAACGATGTGAATACAGGATATGTAATAGTGGGCAATCAAGACTTGTTGAACCATTGTGACACTCTCAACAATCAATGATATAAATATCAATGATATGATATATTATACTTAATTACTTTCACATGAGCAAATTTGTATCAAAGCAAAAACTGCTAAACACAGGAACCACGCTCCATCGTTCAGCTGCTGGTAAGAACTCAAACAATGTCTCAGCAGTTCGATTGGCCACTGCAAACCACTGGTCAGAGGTCATGTTATGATTGCGCATGATCCTCCCATGAGCATACCTCCTGAGGACAGGCTTGGGTCAAACCCAATGAGAGAAAGCTGGCAAACAAAAGAACACAAACTCACCTTTCAGAAATTGGCCATTGACTTGACAAATGATGGTTTACAAACAAGAAGTCACAGGCTGTCACAGGGATCTGTTTTTCTTATTTGCCCTGGTCAAGTGTTTGTCAAAGAGCCAGCTGTTTTTCATAGTCACTGGTCATGCACTCAAAGAGTCAGCTGTTCCTTTAGGGTTAATAGTAGGCTTTGGTGGCAAGAGTCCAATCCATCTCTACAGACAAGAACTGCTTCGCGAACCAACAGTCCGAATGGACATCCCAAGAGAGCTTTTCCATGATAATGAGGACCTGGACGCCAGCAGCCTGAGAGTCCATGGACCAGTAACCAACTTTGTAAACCAAAGTTGAAACACAGTGACTAATATAGTATAGTTATATAAGAGTATACATATGTGACTAATAGTGACTCTATATAACATTGGTATACTCACATCAAAGCAACTAAATCATTCAACTTGTGGGCGGCCAGCCAAGTTACGTGCAAGATTGCCCAAAGCACTGCAGTGACTGTTCCTGTGCGATGCCATCCTTGAAGGCAGGAGATCCTCAGTCAACAACAAGGGTCATCAATATGTTTCACCCTTTCTTCTACCACAAAGATATGGCCACTATCGTGGTTGAACCCCACAGAAACACCAAACCAAAGAACATGCAAACAAGACTCCTGATCACTGAGGCTGGCTTGGACAGGATCATGTTGAGCACTGCAATGAATTTAGGATGGCACATCACCTAGAAGTGGAGCAACCATTGGGTTGGTGGACTATCGACCGCACTCAGACTACACAACAAGCACATGAAGCACAAGAAATGAGAGTTGAATCAAACACATCACAAACAAGATCATGTAAGGCCAGCGCAGTTCGCTGGGTGCTCTGAACCCATCCAGAGTCTCTATGATGTAGGGGCCCTTCTTGCCCTTGCCCTCACCCTTGTTTTTGCCTTTGGTGCTCCTGAGATTGATTGACAAACAGCTGACAAATCTTTACAAACAATTGCCAAAGAAGTTTCACAGCTGACTACAGACTGGGAATGAAACATGTAACATTACTGCTAAGACTCAAATGCACAAGCATCTCGTGATACACAGTGGTCATTGAAGGCCACATCTCGTGGTGATTGACCTGAGATTCCTCCGGGTGGCCAATGATGGCCACTCTGAGTGGCCACCCTCTCCACCTCCCAGATTGGAGCGGAACAAAGCCTTCATCACCACTCTCTACCTGGGAATTGTCAGGAGACACAGAAAATTCCTTTGTTCATGATTTGAGTGATTGTTGATGCTCTGGCCATGTGACTGAAGCAAACAAACATTGTTCTCTAAGTTTAGTTATATAATTATGGACATCAGCGCCAAGTCAAAAACACTTGCAAATAGATTTGGCCCAGGCACTGCCTGTCTC